TACCATATATATATATATACACACGTACTATACATCGCGCATCTATGCCTACCTATGTGCATTCGATACATCCGTGTGCACATGTTCGCAACATCATGCATATATGCACGTGTACATGTCTATCCATCTGTCTGTGCATGTCACGATCTCTCTATCTACATATCTACCAATCTATCCATCTGTCTATCCATCTATCTATCTATGTAACTATCGAGCAATCCATGTCATATCTACCTATCTATAGATCTATCTGAAGTTCTTTGCTATATTACATATGCTTCTTCCGTGACTGAAGAAGGGGATTTCATAGTCTCTAGAACTACCCAAACAGATTTACACCTGATTTTACGTTCTTCGGACTGGTTTACATTGGCAACCAGGCAGGGACGTTGGATGCAAAGTGCAATGACGGCAGCTTTGTACGTCTTGATGCTTTGATATTCTGGGTGTACAATAGAGTACATCAGCTGGCGCGGTTGGGTTGAGTCAGATAGGGAAGCAAGAAAAGGCAGGACAAGATGGGGCTTGCGGCCAGCAAAATCAGCAGGAGAGATCCTTTGCTAATGTCCCTAACAACCCTCACATAAGGGACCAGACTCATTCACACCTGTGCGAACCTTTTAGGATGTTTCTAAACCCCGACAGGGCATCACCTCGTCAGGAATCCCTCGAGGCCTCGATGAAGGTGTTTTGGACTGCAAATGTGTGCATGTCTATGTAGCCTACGTGCATACATATTGAGAGTTAGAATTGAATAGCGCCAGCAGATGATGAACTACGAACAAGCAAGCACGCACCTACAAAGGAAGGTAGTTGCATATGTATATACATACATATACATATAAGTAATCCATGACACAAGAACATGCATCCGGCCGCCTCCATTGGCACCCACGTCTTCCAAGGGTCCTCCGCCGCTTCGTTGACATTGCTTAGGAGTGTGGCGGGTGGCGGGTGGTGGGGTGGTGTTTGGTGGTGAGGTCTGCCCTGAACTCTCGGCCGGAATGGACTGATCAGCCTTAATGCCACGGAGGTCGGGTCTGGCTCAAACACAAAATAGTTTAGTGAGCTGCGCCCCAGGGCGTGTTTCTGTTTCATGTATCTACTTTGGATAGAGAGGGATGGTGAGCGTGCATGGGATCTATGATGCTTTGCAGATCGATGGCTTGAAGACAACGTCCAAGAACATTCGTGCGCTGAAGCTCCTCTAACGTCCACCATCAACGCGTGGCAAATGCACACCACCGCATCGATTCCGTCACACACACACACCTATAGTCTGCCGAAACTTGCCAGCACTTCACGCATCAAGCGGCACCGCAACAGAGAGTCTTAAAATCCAGAAACGAGAGGATGTTGAGAGCAATCGAGACAAGTGTGGTCAGCTCCTGGATGCCCTCCGTGTGAAGCCGAAGCCTCTGTCAGGATTCTTCGGCTTCAGCAAGTTGCCCTTGCATCAACCATGCTGCCCAAAGTGGCTACGTAACATGCAACAAAACACAACAAAGTCACTGATTTCACAAGATCACGTAACGTAAGGCTTTGTATCAAGCCTACCAGTGCTATGACACCATCTAGCAGAACAAAAGCAGAGTCAGAGCAGAACGCAACGTAATATACGTGCATGATTATGCTATAGACTCCGAGCTCAAGGCTTCAAGAACTTCTTGATTCCGACTCATAAACTCCAACAGTCCCGGCCAATGTTTCAATTTTTTTGGTTCGAAACCCATCCACCAGCGCAGCAGCCACCAGCCAGCCGGCCAACCAACGAGCCAACGCACAAGCGAACCAGCGAACCGTATCTTATTCTGACTTACGCATACCATACCATACCATACCATACTGCCCCTGTACTTGCCATGCACAGCTTGCTCCATACGCCCAGTCATGAGCTCCAGCGAGAAGACATGCGCCAGTGAGTGCTGCAGCGATTATGCCGGTGCTCGAGCATTCATCTCACCCCACTCCAGATATGAAACGTTTTGTCAGCCTGAAGCTCGAACATTGTCACTATATCCATGTGGCTTACACAAGCTCGCTGGCAAAGAGATTCCTGGGCGACCGCGCTTGCAAGTTTCCCGGTGCCAGCTGCCATGACCTGGAGCACTGATTACAAGCACATTCTCGCAAGCAAGAGGTACTAGCAAACAATGAACCTACGACGGAGCAAGCTTGGGCCTGTCAAGCAAACAGTTGCAGAGTAAACGCTTCCTGATGCTTCAGGAGAGCCGCCTGGTGGTGTGGTCCCGAGTCGCCAGCCCTTGTGCTGTCAGCACAGTTGATAGACGCGAGCCCAAATCGACCGACGAATCATAGACATGTCATCAACCACAAGAAGACCCAGTAACTTCAAGCAGTGGTCGTTGCATGCGCTGCACGCAAACGAACATTGCAGCGCTTCTATGCGGGAAAAGCAATCCGACGGTCCTGTTTTTGCACAGCCATGCAGCGCCCCGTGCTAGGGCTGTGCTCTCGCTTCCCCTGCCAACTCTAAATTGGCCATGGCTTCACTGCTGGCTTTCAGGCATCTCACCGCCTGCACTTGGAGTCTCGCCGGCCATGGCCTCAGGTTCTGCCTCCTCTTCTTCCTCCTCTTCCTCCGCAGCGTCATCATCCTCATCCTCATCTTCGTCGGTGGCGTAGGCAGCTGAACTCTCAACTTCCTCATTGTCAGAGCCTTCAACGTTCCAGGGAAGGAGCTGTCGCAACTGGTCCAGGAGATCTGAGTCCTTCGAGGTGGCAAAGAAGGATGGCACCTCGCACAAAGCGAGTCTAAAGGGTGTGTAGGAGTAAAGGCATGTATGGGGTTCAAGGCTTCAGTCACAGAGCTTTCTGAAGCCCAGATCATTTTTCCCCAACTCCAAAGCTCGAGTCGCGCCTCAAAGCAAATCTCAAGGATGATGACCCTCGAGGCCGCAAGGAAATTCAGGCGGAAGCGGCCCCCGAGCTGAGAGGCTCCAAGTCGCCCCTGGAGACGATCTCTGCAAAATGGACAGTCACCTGGGACGCTCAGGAGAAAAGGGGTCCCTCCAATCTTGGCCACAATGAACTCTTCTAATCCCCATTCAAGAACACGTCTTTGGTGATCCGTCATTGGTTTTCCCTTCGTAGTGGCGCACAGTCAGTGTGTGTGTGTGTGTGCGTGTGTGTGCGTGTGCGCGCGCGGGTGTGTGTGTGTGTCTGTGTGTGTGTGTGGGATTCTTGCAGGCCTTATGGTAGTGTGGCATCTTTCAGCTGCTGTTTGCGTGCTATCAGCGCTAGCTATAGGGGCCTAGTCTTGTTCGGACTTGTTCGATCTGCTCACGCTGACTCATCGGGGTTAATGAAGCTCACTCTGTGTACCCAAGCACCGGTTCTTGTACCTGTCGGAAACATCATGCGCAATCTCAACTCGTAAATTGCCCAGGCAGTGCCGCAGAAAGCGATTCAGCTGCCGGGCTCACAATGGGTCCGTCCCTAGGCTAACGTGCCGATCCCCGGTCTAACATCATCTGCACTTACCTTCATGTTCACATGCAGCCACAAGCTGTGCACGGCTTTATCACCTGTTGCTCCCGGAAGCTAGTTGCCGCGAAATTGCCGCCCTACTGAATGTTGTCCACATGAGTGAGCTTGACATAGGGATCCATGTTCTGGGAGAATCTCAGACACGGGGATGTGGAATCCGATGGTCAAACATTGGCTACTCAATCGAAACGACCAGCTGGCCAACCAGATTCTTGAGGCCACGCCAAAGCAGTTGGGCTAGAGGACATTGATACCATCCCATACAGGGCCGCCATAGCAGGACTACAAGTATACGTTGGGGTCTATTTGTACGAACATCCCGGACTGCGTCTTCCCGAAGCGGAATATGTGCCCCCAAGTCACGCTCATCTCTACTGCAGTAAGGAGTCCCACAAGGTGCACCGGCAGGAACAGGCCGCACCCGCCTGGTGTGCAAACCACTCGTTGAAGCCACGTACTGCAAGCCCATCACAGAACTTAACGTCTCATCGGCGATGGGAAGCAGCCTAGCACCGTCAAGCGCCAAGAGCTGAATGTTTCCTTCTTCGTCCACTTGAACAGCTGCAGCACTAGATTGATCTTTTGTTGAATCGCTTTCTGTCAGTTCACAAATGGCAAATCTCTGCGCGGACATGGAATGAACTCCCAAAGTTCTGGGAATCGTCTTCCAGGCCAGAGGTAGAGGCAGGATCTTCTTGGCAAAGTCCATCATTTGTGGTGCATGATGATTCAACAAGGTGCCCACAGGTCCGTCAAACAAATCATCATCCTCTTCTTCCCTGAGTTCACTTTGAAGTTCAACTGATGAAACCAGTACGGGCCATGCACGAAGCTGGAAGCTTGGCATGTCAACAATGCACCGACCGTGCCACCAGATCTGGGCAAACATGGCCACGAGATCAACCGCGTCGCGTACCGACGAGGACCTGAGCCCTGAGGTAGCAGGTGCCAGAAGTGTGAGGCGCAAGGCGCGGCGGCAAAGGTCATTTGGATTTGCGAAGGGCTTCAAGGCTGCATGCCAAGCACGGCATGTGCTCGAGCAAGCTGCGATATCGTGCCACAACCTCAAAGCCGTTACAAGGTCCTCTACAGTGCTCATGCCCCAATATGGATAGCGATGAAAACCGCTATTCATCCCATCACGCCAGTCCGCGGAGAAATAATTGCACAAGTTGTCCAAGACCGACGAGCACACCACTGGTGTAAAGAGCGCTGACCTCGGCTTCCGCCATACATACTGACTCCGCGCTCCTAGCATGGCCTACAACTGCAATTACTGCCTGGTAGCAGAGTCCTCATTAAAAAGACCCGGCTGGGCCAGCCTCAAGGCCTGTTCCCTCTGCCTTCGGCCATGCCGCCCTTGGTCGCAGACGTTCGCGAGCACAGCCGGCACTTCCTGATGCGGCGTTACCACCGGACCAGGTGCTGGGCCAATCACAGGCGACCACAAACCGAAGATGTCGGCATCACGGCGGATGTACAGCAGCTGTGGCGCCGAAGGCGAAGCCAGTTGAAGGCAGCATCGCTCCATGCGAAGGTCATGCAGCGGCTTGACGTCTGCAAGGAGGCACCTTACCATTGCAGACAAACAGCTGCTTTTTGACGGACTGGGCCATGGTGCACGTGCAGCTTGGGCTGAATTGAGTTGAGTGCCTGAGTGATGGCCTCAACCACATTTACTAGAGAAGCTGTGGGTGTACGTCTGCTGACCAAGGCTCCAACCCAAACCTTCGACATACTGAAGAGAGACAAGTCCAGGATCCATCTGGAACTGCATGTCGCCACTTCTTTGAAAGATTCCGCTGCAATGCTTCCAGCCACATTCCCCCACACGAAGCGTGGTTACACGTCAGAGACCTTCGGATGCTGAGGATCCTTGACCTTCAGCAGTTTGCCAAACCTTTCCGCAGCCTGAAGCGCGGCTTTCCACTCGGGCAAGCATGCCTTCTTGGAACGAGGTTGCTGGCACACGAGAACTGCCGAGGCACCTGTCTTGCAGCTGACTTGTCTGGGCAGGAACACACGGCAATCATCCTTCTTAAGGAAGCCATGCCTCAAGCCGTTTTATGAGCTTTGCAGGTACATCAGCCTTACTTTCCTTGCAGTACTCCCGAAGCTTCACAGAGACTTCGTCCACAACCTCACTGATTGAGTAGAACTCGTCCACGTGAGAATGGGATTCCATGTCAAACCCGCAAAGCCTAACAGAGGTGTGAGTGTCGCCTATCTGGTGGGCCGCCTTTGTGCGGACAATGGAATTGGCAGCATCGATGCCGTCAATCTGCACTGAAATATTCCTAGAAATCGAGAAGGTGCTGCTGCTAGAGTGATCCACCACAAAGGTCTCATGCCCCAACTCGGGCACTCCTTGCACCTGGACTTGTGCACCGGAAGGAAAGCCATGGTTGGGAGAAGTGAATGCGGTAGCGTACTTTGAGCACTCGATTTGGGCGATGCTCTTCGAGTACGCCATGGCGCAGGGAGCAGCCCGCCAGCGCGACTACGGATTTTAAAGGAGAGGTGTGGCTATGGGCAGGCTGAGCCCAAGCACAGTCATGGCTTAGTCGTATGGTTTGGCGTTGAAGGGTTTGGATTTCTTTGGAAACGCTTTAGGGCTTCTTGACGTGTTTCTACATCTCATTCATGGCATTCCGTCTCTCTGTCCTTCATACCTACATATAAACATACATGCAATCATGCATGTGCATATATACATACATGTACATGCATATGAAATAGATAACTGTACTGTGATCGCTAAACTCGTTCGGGCATCGAGCCATGTCGAACCATTCGTGCAAGGCCACGAAACAACATGCCAAGCCTCCTGGACCACAAGCAAAATGCAAACATCTAGGCTTACCAGGGCAGCTGTGCAAAGGCTGAGGCTTGTCAGTGACCCAAACTGCGCGGCCATCTATCAGCAGGTCTGTGATCAGTGGGTAGCTGCTCGGGTAGCTCAAGCCTCTGAGAGATGAAAAAACCCTGGCAACAGAAAAAGGACCAAGTATCGCTTCGGCCGTAGAAGCTAGGACAATGCTGACAGATGAGCTGGCTTTCGCAGGCTTGTCTGTACACACGGCACGACTAGCTGCAGCTACATGCCCAACCTCAGGGCCTGCTTTAGCATGTGACTGGAGGCTCTTAGCTGATAGCTCTTACAAGAAACTGCAGCCATGGTCAGTAGCAAAACCAAAATCGTGTCTTCTCTATTAATACGATGTGTTGACAATTAGCCTTATCTGTGGCGAGCAGCTAAAGCCTAGAGTCTGGACATCCGCATGCAGGGTAAGCCATGTGGCTTAGACACTTAGCATAGTTAAGGCTTTGGGCTGCGCGGAGATTGACCTCTCGATCTAGAAGGTTGAGGGTCCAGGGATTTTCACGGTATCCAACTGCGCAACCCACAAAACCGACACTCCTACATCCAATTCCTGGAGTCTTGAATTCATGCAGGAGCCGGGGACGCCCTGTGGTGCTGCCGATCTTTTCTCCACCATGCCGAAATCTCAAGTGTGTCCGCCCAGTTCTTGCAGAAGACACGACCTGGCGCATCAGCGCTCTATTCTCGTAAATGCACGCAACACACGAGGCCGTGTCTTTGACATGCAACTACTTGCGTACTGTAACAAGAAGGAGTGCAGCGTCCTGGATAGCGGCCGAGAATCCTGCAGGGAACGCAGGCCTGTCTGAATACCCACAATACTGGAATATGAAAAATTAAACCGAACGAGATCATGCAGTCTGTTGTCTAATGCTAAGCTCACCTGTGCTGCAGTTTCGTACCACAAACAGCGTTCCCTTGAGGCAAACTAACTTCCTTTTGCCCGAGCTCGCAAAATTTGAGACACCCGAAAGATTCCGGAAAACCCAAACACGGCTTGGGGTTGAATCTCACGCAATAAGAGTGGCACCGTCATCTGACTGAGCAGAGTAGACTACAAATCTATCATTATCCTACGTGGTCTTCGTTAGTTGCCTGAAACCATAAACCCTCAACCCCTAAGCCCCGTAAACCGTTTTGCATGCAGGCCGATTTGCAAAACGCCACAACCCCCAAACCCCACACCCCTTCAAATTTCAAGCCCTAACCCCGACGGCGGAGCCTCGATGCTCGCATGGATCCTTGATTTTCGGAAGGTTATAAGGTTCAGGGTTTACAGGGTTTAGAGCGTTTTTGCCTTCCGCCAGGCAGGGTCTGATGCAAGAGTGAACTGAAAGAGACTCGACTTACTGGCACGTGCACATCAGCATCATGGCAGTTTGTTTCCTTCACAGGAGTGGGGACAAGGTCAGCCGGCCCCCAACTGCCCACCGCGTAGGGTTCAAGTTTTACGCCCTCACAAGTCGGACATGCCAGGCAAGGTTCCACAGGTGCAAGTCGGCGTGAAACTATGCTGACTTTTTGCCTAATGTTCAAGTTTTAGGGCGTACGCTCGCGCAACTCGGACTAGCCAGGCGAGGTCTATCAAGTGCAAGTCGGGGTTTCGACTCGCACACGCAATCGGCAGGCGGCTTCGTGAGGTCTGGACTTATGGCCTTGTTTCGAAGGCTTCGCTTTGGCGTTCTTGGGGTGCTTGCAGCTTTTTTGCTCCCGTCACCAAACACAATAAAAGCCAAAGCCCTAAAGACACTAAAATGCCAAGATTTGCAAACCCCACCTCCTCCTCCTCCTCCTACACTGTTTCTGCTGCCATTACTTCTCCTACATAAGTTTTCAACCCCAAGCTGCAAGCCATGAACCCCAAACACGGAACTATACATACTTTAAAAGTGTTTGGAAGAAATGTCCTGTGCGATTTTGCGGTTGCTGTTGGCCGGTGGTGTCGTCGTCGTCATCGTCGCCGCTCGTTCTTTGTGGTGGCGATGACTGTTACAATCTGCGACTAGCTTCTATTATTGTGGTTATGGATGTCGACCTTGATACAGGGATTGAGACGATCGCTGAAGATACTGGCGGCGATAAAGATGATCGTGCTGCTGACATCATGATGGTGATGATGTTTAGAGTATTGATTCTCGAAGTAGGGAATCGCAAAGTAATTCGTCATCACCGCTAGGAAGCTGGCAGAACCAAGAAAGTGCCTTTCATGGTAGCGAAAGTGGTCATTGTGCCAAAGAAATCAGGTTTGCAAGCTGAAAGCCACAATTTAGGGGTCTTGGATCTTGGAAACAACGACTCATGGCAAGTCGGATTCTTTCAAGCCTGTAAAAGCCTGCAAAGAAGTAGATCATGAGGTTTAGGGCTCGCGGCTTTTGGCAATAGTGTTCTATAAGGCTTCGGGTTTGGGGTTCAGGACAACAGGTGCTTGTGTAGACTTCCGGACTCACTGATTGGGTTGCAACTCGCCGTTGCTACATGTAGAAATTGAATCCGACCTGCAAAGAGACATCCGCACATTGAATTTACATTTATGAGTTAAGAGGCTAAAAGTCCTCTGTCATAGCCGGAAGATGCAGATCTAGGAGAAGCTGCTTAAGACAATACTTATACATAGTAACACGGCCTCTTGCAGGTGTCTATGCTGATGTGAGTGAGATAATAAGACAGACAGACAGGCAGACAGGCAGACAGACAGACAGACAGACAGATAGACAGATATGTTAGAAAGATAGATAGACAGATGGAGATAGACGGATGGAGATAGATAGATGGAGATAGATAGATAGATAGATAGATAGAGAGATAGATAGATAGATAGATAAGCAGAGAGGCCAAGAAACCGCGGCCAACATACTTTGCCAAATATAATCACCTATTGGGGTTTAATTTCGCAACCAGGCTTCCTGTGTCCCGGCCTGCTTGATGGAAAGGTCGCGTGCATCCACCCACGCCCAGCGGCAGCCGAGATCAACCAAGATTGAATCTTGTTTGCTATCGACTTGCAGCACCCGGACTTGCTGGCCGGGCGTGTAGTCAAGATCTCTGGCACGCGCCGCGGAAATGCGCAGGGCGCCCAGGCACCCGGGAATAATCTCCTGCACTGGACCCACTTCCACGGGCATGCTTCTGATTGCTGCTGCCGCCTGCTACGACTAGGATGAGCACTACTACATACACGAGTCGTATTTGGCAAGTGTTAGAGGCACCACCCGCAGAACACCAACAGATCGCTGACTGACAACATCACCGAACATCGAAAACCTTGAATCCAAAATCGTCTTGCGACGCCCTTTCGGAATCTGCACCTTCATGTCCGGACATGGCCTGCAAAGGAAGTGGCCTAGCTCTCAAGTTCTGCAGGTGTTCAGCTTTTGCATGCAAAAAAACCACTCACGGCAAGTCGGACTCCTTCAAGCCTGTAAAAGCCTGCAAAGAAGTAGATCTATGAGGTTCAGGGCTCGCGGTTTTTGGCAACAGATAACTGAGGCCTCGGGTTTGGGGTTCAGGACAACAGATGCTTGCACAACAGATGCTTGTGTAGACGTAGACTTCCGGACCCACTGATTGGGTTGCAACTCGCCCTTGCTACATGTAGAAATTAAATCCGACCTGCAAAGAAACATCCACACATTGAATTTGCATTTATGACGTCATCGAAACAGAGGCATGCTGAACATGACTTGGTGTGCACCTTAGCCGGAAAATGGTGATCTAGGAGAGGCTGCCTAAGACGATACTTATACATTTTAACACGGCCTCTTGCAGGTGTCTATGCTGATGTGAGGGTGTGCATATAGATAATAAGACAGACAGACGGACGGACGGACGGACAGGCAGACAGACAGATCTAAAAGATAACGTAGATGGATTCGATAGGTTAAATAGATTAGATAGATTAGACAGATTAGAATGATTAGAAAGATAGATAGACAGACAGAAAGAGAGGCAGACAGACAGATAGATAAACAGGTAGATAGATAGATAGATAGGTAGATAGACAGATAGATATATACTAGATAGCATAGATAGATTAGATAGATTAAACAGATTAGATACATTAGATAGTTTAGATAGATTAGATGGTAGATAAATAGGTTGTTAGTTGGATAGCGCGATAGACAGATAGATGGATAGGTAGATGCACACATGCATATACCCCCAACCAGACGTGAGTTCTATCGGACAAAAGGCAACGGACGCCCGCGATGTTTTGTCCTCGGGTCCTCGGAAACCATAATGGGGGCCTGATGGTCCTTGATTCTCGGTTCCGCTATGGCTGACCCAGAGACCCCAATCTCTCTTAGAGCCTTAGCCTTCCTCTTATGATTCAAAGTATATTTCTGAGTGAAGGGCACGCTGTGGTTTTTGTTGGAAGGACTGGGAGAAAACCTCCTTCTACCCTAGGCATCCCCCAGGGCTCCGGCGTTGCATCTGCGACTTCCTGAAGACGGGGCTCCGTGACACGGGCATTGTAGACTCATGTTATATTTCACGGCAATTTTTGCCGGCTGCATTCACAACCACTGAGTCTAGGGTTTGGGGTATATTTAGTATAGGACATCAGCCCTCAAGCATTAAACCCGAGAATCTTAGCGGCATCCCAAAGCACCATTACTAAATATCCCCTCTGAACAATGAAGGAAACGTACACAGACTAGGAAACAGAATGAAGGGGATCGGGCATATTGTAGCATACGTAAAACAACGGACATGTACGGACTATCAGGGGATCCGTCTGCCAACTAAGAATTGCGAGCCTTTTTTGGTACTCAGCTTTGAGCAGATCTTTGGAGTCTGGCATTGTGAGGGGGTTAGGATATGTTGATGCAAGGGTTGAGGGCTCAGGCTATGGGGCCTAGGATTAGGCTTTTGCATCTCCGACTCCCTGAAGACGGGGCTTCGTGCACGGGCAGTGGAGATTCATGTTATCATTCACGGCAATTTTTTCCGGCTGCATTCACAACCACTGAGTCTAGGGTCTTGGGTGCAATAGTATAGGACATCAGCCCTCGAGCATTAAATCCGATAAACTAGCGCCCCTAAGCATCAGTACTAAACATCCCCTGACCAATGAAGGAAACGTAAAAAAAGGGGCCCTAAGAAATAGACTGAGGTTTCGGGCATATTGTAGCATACCTATATACGATTATATACGGACCTGTACGGACTATCAGGCGATACGTCTGCTAATTAAGAATTGCGACCTTCGTCTGGTACTCAGCTTTAATATGGAGACCCGGGAACACAAGGGCAAAAGCGTCCTGCAGATCTTTGGAGTCTGGCACATTGCGAATATGTTGATGCAAGGGTTGAGGGTCAGGCTCTGGGGCCTGGGACTTTGGGTTCAGGCTTTGGCGCGTGGGGTTTGCGGACTAGGACTCAGGATGCAGGGTGTAACGCGTAGGATCTGGGCTAAACAGGCCACCCCGCGCCCTAACTTGTCGCTTTAACTTTTGTTTGGTAAAAAAAGCGACTACATATTTCGATCTATCTGTCTACCTATCTTGGGAGTAGGTTCACGCTGTCTTTACGTACAGCATCGTGGATACCAGACAAACTTGCTTACAAACGTGATCCCCAAGCCAGTCCGCCTGCTCGACAGCTGCCCCTCCGTGGCAAGGTGTCGTTCGGATCTCACTGCCACCTGGGATGCAATGTCTTGTTGATCTGATTGAAAGGGTTCGGTATTTTGTAGGTTCGAGATTTCGGGTGCAAAAGGGCCTGCTCTCACTAAGAGTGGTATGACTGTGAGGGTGTGTTTTTGGGGTTGGACTGGACTCCAAGATCCTTTCTGCAGCCGAGAGTCGCGGCTCGCTTAAGCCTTAACTACCCCACAGACACAAAGCCTCGAGCCGAGACTCCCAGACCAGGATGGCCACATATTCTGAGGCTGCACGGTGCAGCAGGCAGAGCAGCAGGCACAGGAAGGAGCTTTTTCCAATGCTGAATGCCCTTATACGTCCAGATCCTTCGACGAGCGTAGCGGTGAACTTCGCACAGGCCGTTTTCGTTTGTGATGGGGAGACAATGCACGCACTTCACCGACTTGGAAACAAAGCCTGTGCAGCAAGACACAAAAACAAAAGAGCTTCAGCATTCTTGCTTCTGCTGTCGCTGCGACTCAGGTAGAAGCAGGAATCATGCCATCTTTGACACTGCGCTGCACACACTGCAGCCCGAAACGCATCTGGCATGTTTGCAAAGGCTGTTTCTGCTTGAGACCACGCCTCTGACACGTCAATGCCTGTTTCCATGCTCTCTGTCAAGTCGGCCCAGCAAAGAGCCGCCGCGTAACACACCCCAGAACGTGATGCATAGTCTGCAGATGCCGACATGCAAGAGTCCGGATTGAATGGTTTGCTCAAGGCTTCGATTTCCGCCTTTACCGGGCCGCGTGGTCGCAAGAGGATTGGATGTTGCCTGCCCAACATCAGAATCTCCTGAGCCGTTGCCATTGCCTCTGTCAGTGCCTTTGCCGCGTTGACAGAGTCACCCGCACAAAGGAATGCACGACCGGCCTCGCTGCATTGGATGTAACGTTGGGAGCTTCGCGCAAGGTGCCTCTGAAGCGATGTCTCGGTCTCTTCCAGAATTCCTTCTGCATTCTGCAGGAGCGACCGAAAGTCTGACGAAGTGATTCTCCAAAGAGGCTTGCGAAACTCAACCGCGAGAGCCGGCAGATTGGGGGGTCGAGGCCCCTTTGCGATCTTCTCCAAAGCAGCACCGGCAAAAAGCTTCAGAGTGAGCCGCTTCCAGCGATGTTCCCTCGCCGTCTTAGGCTTGCGCTCCACCAGTGGATCGAGGCGGCTCTTCTGCAGGCAGCTGCAGCCTTTCTTGTGAAATGCTTCCGATCCTCGATCACAGGTGCATCTGCCGCTCGTTCCCAGTGCAGCTTCAGCAGAACAGGAGACGAGCTCCGCGACAGCCAGCCAGTGCTTGTGCCACTGCAACCACTTCGGTCGCTTGGCATGCAGTGACATCTGCCTTTTCCACTCCTCCAGCCCTGTCACACATGATCCAAGATCAACCTTTGATGCTGCAGTTGCCAGTCGATAGCCCGCTTTCGATCGGACGAGTATCTGCTGCAGGGCATGCCTTGCTACGGCATGCTCCAACACCTCTGCAACCAAGCTGACATGGCCACACATGCATGTTGACTCAGGCACGAGGAAGGAGAAGATGCTTTCCCACAGCCTTATCTTCTGGAGCTTGCGCAATGGACTCTTCTGTCTCGGCTTTGATGCATCCTGCATAAGAACAGCTAGCTGCCTTCTCCACTGGTCCGGGGAAGCAGCAAACCCAACGGGGCTCCAAAGCTGACGGGGTGCCTCTTCTCTGCCGCTGTTTTGAAGTTGCACCTGCAACACCATGTCGCACAACGCCAAGCCACGCCTGGCTACCTGCAAGGACTCCTTGAAGATCTCTGCACGCTCGAGGGGGCTGTCCAATGCATGCATCAGAAGCTGCAATGCTTGTTCCTGCTGCTCTTGCAAAGGGATCCGCAGATCTTCCAGGACCTTGCGCTGAAAATGCTGGCGCATGAAGGTGATCAGTGCCGGCAGGTCTGCAGGAACTTCGTGTGATCGGGCCGTTCTGACACTCCTACCTGACTGCATCTGCACGGGTGCAGGAGCAGCAGGAGCAGGCCTCTTCCATGCGAAGTTGGGTTCAACCAGAAACCCGTGGCGTTCACCGAACTCCTGGCCTCAATCGGCTTCAACCAGATAGCACTGTGCTTTAACATGCTCTGATTAGGAGAGACGAAGAAGACGAACACAATCAGTCAAGAGGCAGAAGGCAAGGTTCAGCTGGAAGTCCTCATCGTCAACCTTTGCCAACTCGGATCGTAGCAGGGCTCTTGGTCGTCGATGGTCTCGGCCCTGCCTGTGTTCTAGTTCTGCTTCCAACCAAGCGACGAACTCAGGCAGCGTGATGTCACAGCTCGAGTCTGAGACCAAGCTCGCATCGTCTGCAACTGGACATGATGCCAAACGATCTAAGCCATCTAAGCCCAAATCCGAGCACTGCTTGCCCGACTTGACTCTTCGATTGTAAACATCCAAGCTTGCCAAGTGCTCCACCACTCCCTCCTTTGACCAAAGGGACAGCAAAGGGCTCCATTCGCTACAACTTGCGTTGACTTCTAAGATGGCGCATCCAAACTTGGCACGCGTGATGGCAGTATAGAGGACCTTGAACTCATGTATCGCAGGAGCCATCTCATAGAAAGTCTGGCTGTGCTGCAGAAAGATGTCGCCTTCTTGCGATGATGCCGCGAACACCGCAAGCTGAGAACCCTCTGAGCTGGGATCCGCCAAAGATCCGACGGCGCGCGTGTGGGCCGACTTCCCAAGCAGCTGGACGATGAGAACCAGATCGAACTCCAAGCCTTTCGCCTTCCACGCAGGGGGGCAGACGCAGAGTGCCCAGCTTCAGGATGCTCGCTGCAATTCTAACATACACAGAAAGTCAAGAAGATGCACATGGATTAGCTGTTTCTGTGCTTGTCTTCGACAACTCGTGGCGAACCGATTACAGCATCCATCGCCCAATGGTTTGATGCCGGACCGAAATGAAGTTCTGTCATCTGAACTGGCATCGAGGCGACCGCGCCCGAACAGCAAAACACACACTGCATAAAATCAGGTATCGCCTCGGCAACTGTCAGGATTGTGGCTTGGCAACCGCCGGCACGCAACTGCCTGAGCTGCTGGCTACATCAGCTGCAACACACGCCCAAGTTCAATAAGCACATCTGAACTGTGACAGGTGTATGAAATCATGAATGTGCATAGCTAGCTGCACATGTCTTGTTGAATTGCGTCCCAGTTTCTCTCTCGTAGCAGCATCAGGAACCTGGCATTTTGCTTGCTTCTTTATCCAAGGTAGTCTTCCTTTCGAAGGGATTCGGACAGGGAGGTTTCGATGTCCATGGAAAGCTCGGAAGAAGCGTTCCTCACCCATCGCTGCCTAGCAGGCCTAGCAAAGCCCACATCCTGGTCTCACGACGACCACTACTGAACCTTCTGAGCTCATGGAACCTCCATTGGGCTGGAAAGCTCGCAGAATGGAGGCCGTTATTACCCCTCTCAACCACCTCCTCGCAGAAGTGGCAACGAGGGTGCAGCCTCAAGCCCGTAAAAAAAGGATGAAGCCCAGCCAACCCCCTCGACGAACTTCACAGCCCTCTGAATCTCAACGTTCTGATGTATGTTTTGATGGGCCGTCTGGTTCATGAAAGGCACCAGGACGGCCGTAGAGCTGGCATCTATAGCCCAATCCAGCTGCAAGCATCCGGTTCCTTGGTCCAAGCTGCTCAAACGAAAAACAAGGGATCGCTTGGGGGCCGCCAAACTCGTGTGTCGTGTGCCTACCCTGGAATGCAAGGTTCCGGCAATAGCCTCCGCTGGATGGTTGGTCTCAAGCAGAAGGGGTCGAACACGCATCTTGAGTCCGTCGTCTATCTCTTGAATATCATCTGCAGCACGAGGAAACCTGCTGAACAGCAGCCCGGTGATTGAATTGGCGAGGGCTCGAATACCAGGTGCGCAACGATAGTTGTATCGCAACACATGCAAGCCATCTTCCGTGTCATCCTCTACAGACTTGTGTCCTGTTCAGACAGACAAGATTTGTACGTGGTCTGGCAAGATCGGGCCGAACACATTTCGATGTAATTATAGGTTGCCGCCTCTAGCTTCAGATTCATTTCGAGCTAATGCTCGAAATCTCCGCCCTCGGCCAGATTGCCGCTTCGCTCGAAAATGCCGCAATCGCTCGAAACATACATATGCTAATTTGGGTTGGAAAGGGTTCGTTCGACCACTGACAGCACTACCCGTTTATTGCCCCGTCCTCGCAGCTCCCAGATCTTCGTGTGTGCTTGCATGATGTCCACGAAGCAAAAAGCGCTTCCTGGGTTTATTGTCTGACATGTGTCGCCGGCGACCGTAAAGCCGTCCCTGTCTCCACAAATGTCTAGCAAAGCCGCAAGTTCGGTGGGCGCGAAATCTTGAACTTCATCCACGTACACTTCATGAACGCGGCTAGCACCACGTATGCGCTCGCGAAGCGCGATGGCCACATCGATCTCATCCTTCCTGCGCATCCTCTCCTTGATGACAGTGTACTCCGTAAATGCTCGGTGAATGGCTCGACGGTCAGCAGGTGTCAGATGGACACCTTGTCCGCTCACTGTCATCTTGAGATATTCATCGAGGCTTAACCCGTTCCAGTGCCAGTGGACAAACGGGCGCAAGCTGCAGGAAAATTCAGTCCAAACGGCTTTTGCGGACAAAGTCAATAAGCCATTGAAAGTTCGCTGCAGCTGCGGATAGATATGCTGCTCGAACTCTCTGAACCCGATGCAACCGCCCGCGGCTGACATGCTGAAATGTGAAACCAGCTGGTTCCACGTGAAGCACAAGACTTTGCCACTCGCAGGCCATGCTTGATGCCCTGGAGCAGAGATGACTGGGACATTCGCCGACTCAAGCTGCTTCACTACGGTGTCTCTCAAAAGCTGCGACTTCGTGACGAAAAGCTGGGACTTGGGCTTCACATCTCCAGAAGTCCAACGTTCCCTGCGATGAATGATCCGCTGCACCAGCACCAAGGTCTTCCCTGTGCCCGACCGACCTTGAAGGAACAAGCTGTGCTCGTATGCCACAGCTTCCTCCTGCTCAGAAGACAATCGCAAGAGCTCAGAGTCTGCCAGGACGCGGCTCCCCACCTGGGTTCCCCAATGCGGCTAGCATCTCTTCCGACTCTCCCGCTTCTTGTTGTTTTTCTAGGAAACCCACTAAAACGAAGGTCAACGGGCCCCTTATACTACTGGGGGACCAAGGTGCCCCGGGCTCGTCCTTTCGTGCCAGCTTCCAGGATGCTTGAAATCGACCCTGGAGCTTTGCGAGACGCTGCTGCAAGGAGAAGTGCAGGCGACGTGCCGATCGATCCATGGCATCTCCAGAGAGTTCCTAGGCTCTCGTATGCTCTCGTTACGTAACTTCAGTTAAGTTGCCGTGATACTTCTCACAATAGACCTGCACGGTGACAGTTTAACAAGGACCCAGGTTCTTCAAGGGAAGCAGCGATATCAGACATCTCCTCCGGCACATTGTCCATCGCTTCTGATGCAACGCCTTCTTCTGCTTTCTGCAACCGCTCCCGCAGTGCTTGTAACTTCTCCGCCAGCTCCGTCCCATCGAGAGCCTCGAGAGGAGCAGGTTCTAGCCATTCCGTGTTCAGAGGCTTACGTGCTCGCCGGGAGCAGAAGTTTTTCGCATCCTTGTGAAGATCGCGTGAAAACTGCCGCAGCACCGGGAGCATGTGGCAGGCTCTTTGTAGCTTTCACAGATGTCGTGTGCTGGACAGTCGCATTGTGCACCTATGTGTCGATGCTGTAACCTCGCATGAGAATCACATCTGGGAGGGCATCCCCTTGATGAATTTCAACCCTGGAGAGCAGCAGCAGCGGAGCACTCTTCAACGCCATGGAAAATCCGCACTCTGCGCACTTCCTTCTGCAGACCTCTCGCACCAGCACTCCCGTCTGCAGTGCTCCGCAAAAGGATGTGGTTCTGCGTTTCTGTCTCTGAGCTCTAAACTGAACCTGTGCACCTTCTGGTCGAAGACTCCGTCCCCCCTCGGTGGACCAGGGGCGACAGGATCCGTTTGACGGCGATGTTCCACATTCGTGTCGTATGTATCCGGTGAGAAGTATCATGCGCATGATTGGACGATTGCATATTCTCGAAGTGACACCATTCGGGAGAAACGAGGATGTAGCTGGATGGGGAGGTCATACGAGGTTCTGATGGGAGAGGGTCGTGCAGGCTATGAAACCTGAGCAATATGTACTCAAGAAGCCCCTCGAAGCGCCTCTGAATGTATTGTGGGTGCTCCTAGATCACCACGAACTTCAAAACACCGAGAATCTCGCTTGGTTTCCCATCGATCGAAGTGCTCTTTCACCGTGTGTCGCAAGTTGTTTCAGCAGTTCTTGCAGCAAGCCAGCACGTGCAGTAGGGTTCCAGTGTCTACAAGTCCGGGTACTAACCCATGTACTGGTGTTGGAAGAGTTTTGCGTTTCCGTGCAAACTGCGAGCTTGGCTATGGATATCTTGGCTAAGTTACGGCTGGGCTGGGCAGTTGTGTCGTTGTGTTAGGGACAAAAAAAGGCACATCTCCCGGGCCGGGCAGATGCCTCGACTCACTGAGTCACCCACTCACTTCCACTTTGGAGATCTGTGAGGGCTCTGCATGAGAACAGGATCTCCGTCTCGCTTCCTTTTCTCAGCTTACGCTGCACTCCTCCCCTTGTACCGGCGTGGCCTGCACGCTCCGCACAGTGTATCCCTCTCGGAGCCACTGCTGGACCTCCGGATAATGCGACGGGCTGAAACGCTTCCTCATCAAGTCTGTACCAGAGGAAATGAAAGCAAACAGCTCCTCCTGCAGGCGCTGTTGGTACTCTTGGGACTCACTGTCCGACTTTCCTTTCAAAGCATCTTGCGACTTGGCGCAGACCCGAGCCACCAACTCCTTTAAGGAGGGCAGCGTCAGGACCGTGAGTTGGGCCGACCAGTTCAGCCGAGCGTTGACGCAGCAGCGCCCGGAGACCTGACAGGAGGTTGGATGGGAGAACTGACCCCTGGGAAGGTGTAGCGCTGCATCATACAAAAACCACATATGTGTGCACCTGCATGTCTTTTTGGGAGAGAGGGATGACACAGACAGAGACACACACACACACACGCATGCATGCATACATTCATATTACACACAAACATAATACATGCATGTATGCATACTACATTTGCATGCTACTGCTAAAGTGTAAGTGTTTTATTTTCACATAGATAGGCAAAAACCCACATTCGGTCGAGCCAAGGGCACCTGAAGGTCCAGATCCAAGCGGACCAAGGTCACCAGGCCCGAGGTGGGAGTTTTCCCTGGGTTCCAAACAGGGACAGCAGATGTCTGGTGCACTCTATCCAAAACATCACTGTGATGGTCGGGGTTTTGCTCTGGAGCTTCATGCAAGCTACCACAAGAGATATCGTATTATGACTGATACTTAACGGAAACGAAGGTCATGATGTCGCGACCACCAGGAGGAAGGGCAGAATTAGTGTATACAGCATGTGCGGTATACCGACTTTTTCTATATAACTTAAGTACAGTTCCTGAACGAGAGCCCAGCGGCTTTTCGCCTCCTTGGTGGAGGGACTGGTAGGGAACCCCACGGAGCCGGCACTCAGGCTCTGTGTTCTCGCGGCCGGGTCCAGCGCCAGTGCCTCGGAAGCAAAAGAATTTATGGTAATCCCTCAAGTGACTCAAACAGACAAAAAAGCCCATAAGAACCCCTTCATGTAGTATATAGTGACCCTAATATAATAATAAGTAGCCTTTCGTGCTCGCCTTCCCCGTATGGGAACCCCTCTCCGAGGCCGGGGCCAGCTCCCGAGTCAGCGTCTGAGCATGGCCGGGTGGGATCCGCTGCAGCAGGTCCTCTGAGGCTCTGAGCTTTTTGTTTGGTCATTTTTTCCCCACCCGCCCAGCTGACAATGTCACACCGCTGGGTATTTTGTCATTCGCGGTTCAGGGATGTTAGGCTGGTGGAGGGGTGCTTGGCAAAAGCTCGGCTTGCAGATGGCGGTGCGGACAAAGCTGAGCAGATGCAGCACTTGATGTGGCATCGTGGTGTTCACACAGAGAAACTGGAAACTCCATCTTCGTTTCGGCGGGCCCTCCAAGGAAGAAACCTCATCGGAAAAAAACCACACTTTCTTCCGTCCTCTTCCAGCTCGCCCAGGCACCTGCCATGCAGTCTGCACCCATACGATTTTTTGCACCCAAAAAAGCCCAAACAAGATCTGTTTGCTTCTTGACCTTAGTGGGCTGTGGACCTCCAGGTTCCATGGTACACTCGCTTTCTTGACGCACGCCTGGCCCACCGCAACAGCCTACTCCGAGGACGCAGTCTCACTAGCCCCTGGTGCGGGCTTTATGTTGGGATTACATAAAGGCGGCATTAACACGGAGGAGTTTGGGTTGCCTGCGGTACATCGTAATGATGGGTGCGAGCAAACCAGCTCGGTCAGAGAAACGGCACACATCAGCCTCGCAAACAACTCACAGCACCTTCAAGCGCGCAGCAGCTGCGAGAGAGCTGGATGTAAAATCTTTTCAACCCCTAAACCCCAAACCTCTAAACCCCTAAGCCCTAATGCCAGCCTGGTGCGAGTGCATGAGTAACCCCTAATGGTTGGGATGTTTCTGAGCTCGCCGTGCCCGGCCTCCGAACCCCTTTCAAACGCTCGCGCCGCGGCAGTGCCAGCAGGCCGTTCAGGGAGGCTCGCTGCGCCTGGCCAGCGGAAAATCAGCAAACAAATAATCCGAACCTTTGTACATAACATACATGCATACATGTATGTATACCTGTATGCATGCATGCAAGCATGCATGTATGTAGTGATGTATGCATGTATGTTGTGATTTAGGTATGTATGTAGTGAAGTATGTATGTAGCTGCCTTTCACCTCTGCCAGGGGCACCCCTTCCGGACCTTTCGAAAGAAAGAACGGATGTATGCATGAAAAAGGATGCATGTTCATGTTATGCAGCGCCTCTATTTGTACACACACACACACACTATAGGACATAGGCATGTGTATACACTCAGGTACACATACGGGCTATAGTACAGGTTGTGTGTTTTTTTTGTGAGCTGATTCGTTGACTCGTTCTGTCATTACACACTTGCTAGACCCCTACGCGTCTGAAGCGCTTTGGGATTATGGACTATAAAGGGTCACCTTCTCGTCATTCTCCGTGAGGTTCCGGAGCACGTCGCCGAAGTGCTCGATGCCCAAAACTGACCCAAGGCCCCCGGCCGCCACGCTGAGAATTGGCTCAGGCGAAATAAACTGGACCACCTCCATGGGAAGCCGCACATATGTACACTTCGGGAAAGCTTTTTGAGACTCTAACTCATGCTATGCTTCTTCTGGCTCTCCCTCTTCTTCTCTCGTCTCTCTTCATCGGATCTTCTGTTCTACACTCGGGCCTCCGCAATGTCCTCAAAGCGTACTCGCCTCCAGAACTCAACGACTTTTGTGTCGGTCGCGTCCTCAAAGGGCTCGATGGAGTCCATCGAATTGAAGGGCATCGGAGTCGCGGGAGCCCGGGGCGCATAGGGATCTGGGCCTGGGCTCTTCAAGTGACCATGCTATGTACCCAGACATTCCAGCATATGCTACCCTTTTTTTGTCGTCCGTATACCTATAATGACAACAATAATTACTCTTAGGAACTTTTAAATATTCTTGTTGTCACGAGTATGCTATTGTTATCATAACCATTTGCTTTTCTGTTGCTACCCTTACCATTCACGTTATAACAACTTCAGCCAACTTTCTGAGCGAGAACCCAGGGGCCCTCGAGAGTGACGCGGATGATGTACTTAGCAAGCTCGTGCCCAGAGGTCGGGGCGAGCTGAGCCACCTGGGATGGGCAATGTTTTCTGTCTTACGCAAGAATGAGGTTTCTGGATACTAACACATACATGCATACATACATACATACATACATATGTATATATATATGAGGACCGAAGGAGCGGATGATTGCTGAATCATCCGACCTCTATAGTCCTTAAAGGACCTGGGAACGCAATAAACAGGTTCCAAGCAGAGTAGGGCTGTAATTAGCAAAACCTTAGGCGGGGTATTTATAACTGGACGTATTACCGACTCCGGGTCTGTCAGCAGCCTCCCGGAAGATTGCTCATGCTACGAGACCTGAACTGCTGTACTATGTATCCTGGCGCCAAGCAGCTGCTGCCGGGATCCAGCTTCGTGAAGACAGATAGCCCACGCTGCACAAAGAGCCTTTGCGAGGAAGCTTGTGGCTCTGTGGCATCCCTTCTCGGCTAGCTCGATCCTACTGATACTCGACTTGAGCACAGTAACTTCCGCGTGCAAGCACTTGGAAATAATGATGCTAGAAACTTTCTTCGAGGGGCCTGAGCTCTGTAGGCATGTTTCCTCGCGGTCCAGTTGGTTCTGCAACGCCGCCAGGCAAGGTCGAACAGAAGGACCAGAAGGGCTGGCCGTCTTTATCTGAAGCTCCTGAAAAGGGACGGCTTACAGGGACGACTTTCTTGGACCCCAAGCTGCAGCCTTTTTGCCGTCCGTGGGAGTGGCATCTTCCAGCTCTGTCATGGGGGGCAACTCGTCCACCTACCACAAACTCTTACCGAAGTGTGACGACAGGGCTAGGGTCCTCACTGTCTCATTTCACACACTCCTTCTTTACCGTCCACTCTCGCTCTCTGAGCACCGTCAGCGAGTGGGGCTCGTTGAAGAGTTGGCAGGAGTTTTTGCATAGCGAGATCAGCGACTTGCCCACGTCACCGATCTTCCTGAGAAGAGGTTGGGGTTGTTCCCCCCCCCCGGATTAGTAGTTGTAGGCGGGTTTCTAAAAAACCCTTACTTGCGACTCTATGTATCACTCCCCCTACGACTACCAGAGGGCCTTTGACGGTAGACTGACGACTGTCATGCACGCAGAAGAAATCAAACGGCAGGAAGCCATGGAACCAACCGGATTGCACCCGCAAAGTGGAAACAAAGAAGACCCGAATAAAACCTACATGCACCTACATGGCTGGATATGGTAGGATTTGCGTGCATTTTACAGACCCCGAAATCAAGCATCCCTAGATTAAAGGGCTTATGAAACCCTCGAATGTGCTGGCCGTAAGCGACGAGGCTCTCCTTCCAAACCCTCAGTGTTTCTTAACTGCTAATATTCCCCGCCGAGCTACCGCAAAGATCTAAGGTTTTGGGTTACGAAACCGTAATATGGGGCCCTTAACTAGGGCTTGGGGTAAACTACGCTAGGACTATAATCGGATTCGGGGGAACAGTATTCACAATCATTCAGGCATTTTACTTAGAGCAGGTTCAGGGGCACATAATCCCATTATTGCAATGGCGAGGCCTGCTACTAAATTCCCAATCCCAACCTTTCACAAAGCTATGAAAAAACGATTAGCTTCGTCGCATCTTGTGAAGTTTAAAGAAAGCACTCGGACAAGCCAGACGAGGCAGCCCGCTTTCAGGAGAGATCCCGTGAAGAAAGTTTACCAAGTAACGCACCTAGCAAACCACGCGGGCTCACAACTGCGGGGAGGAGCGAGAGAGGAAGGACGGCGGGGAGTGCAGAAAAACAAAGGGCGACACGGCGATAAAATGAGGTGCCTTGATCGCTCAGGTCATGGGGCATCTTGCAGTACTGGTATGATATATCATGGAGACTTCCAGGGACATTAAATGACCCAGGCTCTTCTCCACTTGCGCCACATCCAGGTCCTCAGCTCCCACAAAGACTACAAGGGTGTTGTAAAGGATCGAAAGATATTCTTCAAGCGGTGCTTCGTTTTCACATCTCCTTATGCCAAAACTCCACACGAGCTGAACAATGGGATGCCTCGCGTGGTCCTAACAGAGAGAGCCTGCTCTAAACCCTTGATCAGAAACCTGACTCACTCAAACCCCAAAGCCTGACCCCCGAAATCTACGGGATTCTTTCAACTTTCAGTCCCAAGCAGCTGCAATCTCAGACTCGAGTTCGACAATTGTCTGTCGTGCCTCGCGCGGGCGTGGGCTCTGCCCCTAAACCTTAAGTCTGTTCAGGGTTTACACTCTTCTGCTCAGGGTTTAGGGGTTTGGCCTTGAGTTCTTGAGTTTTGGGCTTGCGGGTTTGAGGTTGAGGGTCCTAGCATCCTTTGTATTTAATATAAACTTGAATCCTCGTAAACCCTGTTATAAACTACAAACCCACCCCCTGAAGTCCCTGTTCACAAGGCCCGAAAATCCCTAAACCCTACAAGCCATGTATGTACGAATAATACATATTTCACACACACACACACACAGAGACACAGACACAGACACAGACAGACAGACAGACACACACACACACAGACAGACAGACACAGACAGACACAGACAAACAGAGAGAGACAGAGAGAGACAAAGAGAGCCAGACAGAGCCAGACAGAGTCAGA